AAAGATGTTTCAAATCTACATCATAATTAATTTTTAGAGATTAAATTTTAAATTAAAAACTATATAATTTAAAACGTAAAGAAATGACAAACAGAATTATCACAATTTAATTTTCAACAAAAAAGTTCAAATTTAAAATAAAATTTTATTGGCACTGTATTTGAAATGCACATAATATGCTGTAAGTATTAAAATTAAATAAATTCAAAATTAATAGTTAAAAATAGATTTAATTTTTATTAAGTAAAATAACTACTTTTTGCTGATTTAAGACAAACATGTTGTAACATAAAAACTGCTGTATGACTAATCAACTGGAATGACCTTGACAAGTAGAGGAGAATAGTGGGCATTATTATTTACTTACACAAATTTCATTCATATACTAAAACAATTTTAAAAAAATAATAATTGGAAAATAAAATAGTTATATAATTTATTAATTCTATGTATAATCTTTTTATATTAAATTTTAAAAAAGTATATATAATGTCAACAACTTTAGTTACTATTCAGTTCAATGCTAGTATAATATATTTCATAACCATAAATATATACATTACAAATCTTAACAAAATTTTAGTTGAAATAAACTGAATATTTGTATAAAATTTTATATTATGAATTAATTAATTAGGATAATTTCTTAAATACATATTTCTATCAATATAGTTAAGTTATGTAAATTATGACTTATATAAAGCCAATATATTCATACATTACTAATGCCTTCTTAATTATTGTATTATTTAGTTTTGTTGTTTCTAAATATTATTTTATTTATTTACTTTTTATGGGAATGACTAATCTTGTAATATTACCAATATAAAATAAGGAATTATTATTTAGTAGTTCCAAAAGTGAGACTATTCAAACTTCATAAATTTATAATTATTATTATTTTATTTTATTTGTATAATTAAATTTTAGAAAAATGATATTAATAGATTAAAGATCAGTAAATTTATACACATGTGTTAAGTATAAGTAACTGTGTTCAGTATAGTACATCTCATAATTTACAATAATAAGGCAGATTAAAAAAAGCCAACAATTATTGAATATAAAGGCTAATAGTTATATTTTATAACCTAATCCTAATTTGACAACAGATAGTAACTTAGATTTATTGAGTGTTAAGATGATTCTAAAGTTATGCTGTACTATTACTTTAGTTAGAAAAATTAAGAAATATTCAATGCTTTAATTTCATAACAGCTTTATATATTGGTAATTAAAAAATACAACTGAATAGATAATAATGAAAACTATTATAATTTAACATCTCATCACTGACTCATATTTGAGTATATAACCAAATTAGATAATAAAAGACGACAATGCTTTTAGGAGAAAAATAAGAATTTTAAAATATATTAGTTTAGTAACACACAGATAAAATAAGAGCTAATCATATATAAAATACTGTAAGTTTAAAGGAAAAACATTACTACTATATTTTAATTGAGCTATAACATAACATCTTTATAATTAATTTAGCTATGTAATTTGGATTAAAAGCAAAAGCAAGCAATTAAACTGCCATCTTGTATTAAAATCAATTAAAAGTACTAAAAAAAAAAAGTATATCTAAATATACTCAAATACACTATACTCTTGCTAATCTGGCTATTCCTTGTAGAGGGTGCCATATTACTGAGTGTATATACTGTGTGCCTAAAGGTAATGAATGATGTGACCTGTTGCCCTTTAGTTCTGATTTTGTTTGGAGGCAGACAGGCAAATAATATGGAACAATGATATGCAATAATATTCATAGAAAGGGGACCCAATAGGATATCTAAATACTAAAATTCATGTAAGTTATGATTTTTATAACTATATGATTTTTAGTGCCTAGCTATCTTAGCTCTAGACATGACTAACATTTAAACACAGACAAAACACCAAAACTAGCAGACCTCAAATAAACACTTTTACTAATGTTTTCATCTGTTTATAACAGACATCTTCAGGTATATATAATTTAAGGTATGTTGGTTAGGCATTTTGTCTGTTTTAAAATAATATATCCCAGTACAGGTATACCTTGTTACGTCGTTGGTTTATTAAATTTCGAGTTACAACGTTTCGAGTTATGTCGTTCCCGATTATACGTCATTTGTCAAAAAAGTATATAGAAAAATAAAAATCAAGTTTAAGTCATTTTATTCAACTTTACATCTGTCTGCCACAAATATTGAAGTCGTAATATCACTAGAAAAGCATTTAATGCACATAAAATCATATTAAAATATATACATTTACAAGTATGTACTGTATTTAAAGTACATGCATTCGTAAATTTAGATTACTTTTTCTGTACTATATTAAAAACTAAAATTTATTTGTTTGTAAGCTTAAAATAGATCCTTATTAACCATATATTATTAGAAATGCATTAATAAATAAAATACAGAACCAAGAATGGTAATTTATGGTTTAGCCTAGTAAAAAGTAGATTCAGAGACAAGTAAATTCGACTTACGTTGCCTCTCCTGGAACCAATTACTGACGTAAGGCGAGGTATACCTGTATTGGAAAGTAAATGACTATCATTTCCAGGGAAACAGAAGCTCTTAGGCAATCAGACTGGGGGGAATATATACCAGATAATTGAGAGACTAAATTAAGGGTCACATTTGCAAGAGTGAACTGTATTAACTGTTTTAAATACACAACATATAGTCTAAAACCTTAGCTTAGGTTGCTCTTGTTAAAGTCAGAAAAAAGTTGTAAAAGGAATGCTGACTCTCTTGTAGATGAAACTCTTGTACATAGGCCATGGCCTATAGCCAAGGTTTTAGGATATGACTCCAGAATAAAGACCAATAAAAAAGGAACAGAATCAGGAATAACATTAGTATGTAGCACAGTGAGATTTACATAGAGTTAATTGGATGTTTTTGCTGGTCACTTATATCAATTTTCATGAATGATTTAAAATTATTACAGGTATCTCTTGTATAGCACAGTAGTTATGTTCCCAAAAAAGTGCAGTGTTATGGGAATTTGTGCTATACAAAATAAAGGACTAATGAAAAACAGAGTCATGTTCCAGAAGTTACAAAAGTATACTACAGTATTCTTTTTCGTTAATAAAGGAAAGATGTTTATTAAACCAATCAATAATTAATTAACAATTATAATTAAAAGCACTGTATTGTGTGTTAGTATTAATTTTAGTTAAATGAGAGAGTTTTCTTTTTACAAAGTATTGTCATCATCTTGGCTTTTTTGTTGATCTTGATCAAAAGTATCCACAACATTTTCATATATTTTTTATTTTTATCATAAAAAATTCTCATAGACAACAAAATAAAAATATGTTATTATTTGAATATTTGTTCTAACAGGTAGAAATTATTCAGTCGAGTAGTGAGTGACTTTTTTTCAGAACTTGTGTTTGAATACCGAATTGTTTGAGTACCAAGATATAACTGTATTTTATTCATCATTTTTACAAATTAAGTAATCATTCGTAAGTAAGTAATACCTATAATTAAAAAAAATTTAGAAAAAATTATGAGCAAAAATAAAGATTTGATTGTTTAAAAAATTTAAATTTATATCTAACTTGAAACATTTCAATTAAGAAATTCATATTTTTACAAACTCATTGTTTATATATACATTTAGAGTGTGTGTGTGTACGCATGTTGATGCAAATATATAGTAAAATTACTTATAAGTTGACCACAAACTAGAAAAATGAAAACTCAGATTCAAGTGACAATAAAATTAGATATTTTGTGCAATGGGCAAGAATTTTTAAACCTATAATTTCATATTCTTATATGGAAAACATATGAGGAATGTTCAAAAAAAGTATCAATCATTTTTCCTGTGAAAACAAAGCTTGGAACATGTCTGTCAGCTGGAAGGTATAGGGGACCTTCATTGAACATGTGTGAATTTTTTACTGCTAGCAGAGAGCATCAGTCACTGGCAGTCAGCATGTGATTGAATACCCACTGCATTTTCATTTGCTGTGAAATAGCAGAACAACTTGAGCAACATTAGTGTGTCAAAATTTGTGACAAAGTGCTAACAACAGAGCAGAAGCAACTCTTAGTGAAAGTCTTGCAGGACATGCTGAACTGTGCAAATGACAACTTCCACTTCCTGGATTAAGTGAATACTGATGAGTCATGAGTTTGTGAGTATGATCCAGAAACCAAAGATGGAGTCTTCTTAGTGGCATCATAGCAAGGCCAAATTACATACAACAGGTGCACAGTAACATCAAAGTCATGTTAGCTGTCATCTTTGACTCAAATAGTGTGATGCTACATGATTTCACACAAGGCCAAACCATTACCAAAGAGTTATTACCTGACTGTCCTTTAACACCTTCATGATGCTGTGTAACACAAATGACCAGACATTCTTGGCCAAACATTCCTCTGCTTCATCAAGCTCCTTACTCTCCCAATATGGCCATATGTAATTTTTGGCTGTTCCTCAAACTGAAGATGCCAATGAAAGGAACTCACTTTTAGTCACAAGAAGACATTACTCAGGACACGATAGCACAGTAAACACCATTACCAAAGAAGCCTTCCTAATGTGCTTTCAACAATAGAGGAACTGCAATAGGAAAAGTGTGCAAGCCCAAAGAGACTACTTTGGAAAAAAACAAGACTATCTTACTTTTTTGTTTTTATATTATCTACTTGGACTTTGTTTATAAATAGGAGTTATTATACTGGTGTAGTTTCTGATTAGTAAAGATAGTCAAACAGTAAAACAAACTATCTTTACTAATCAGAAACTACATCAGTATAATAACTCCTATTTATAAACAAAGTCCAAGTAGATAATATAAAAACAAAAAAGTAAAACATTAAGACAGTATTGTTAATTCTTTTTATCTCTGTCTTTTGGCATTAAGAATCTTATATTAATAACAAAATCAGCAAATACTTTCATCATCATATTGATGTCTTCTTTAGGAAAAATAAAACATTTTTGAGCCATGTATTTTGAATGTGACCTAAATCCATTTTCCAAAAAAATTAAGCTATTATAATGTTTACAGTTCTACGTTATTTTTCATTTTAAACAATTTTCAGATTATTATATTATAAATTCATTAAGATTTTGTAAACAGAAAACTAGCTAGTTAATAGAATAAAGAAAATTTTATTTTGAAAGCAGCCTAATTACACTTTGACAAGTTTCAAACTAATACGCAGTATATTGAGTAAAATTTTATTAGTAAATGATTACAATATTAAATCCATTAAATATAACATAATTTTATAACAATAATGCATTGATGGTGCTTCTCCCTACCTCCGGTAATCTTAACATCTACCATAATCCTAACAGAAAATTCTTACATCCTAATCTAAATATAAAAATGATGTTTAATTTATACTTGCTTGAATGTAAAGAAAAAACAAGCACTGTTAATAAGTGGACTTACAGAAAATATTTTAAAGATTTTAATTTGCATTTCCACCAGCTGCAGAAAGATACATGCTAAAAATGTGATCTATTAAACATTAAAATTAAGGTATTGAACAATGGCAAAGAAAAGGCAAACATTATGGAAGAATGTGATATGCATTTAAGATAAGCAAAATTGGCTAGAAAATCATTAAAACAAGACCAAGATCTATCATCACATAATCCAGATATCTAATTTGCTTTTTCTTTTGACTTGCAAAAAGCATTGCCTTACCAGAAGTTGACTACTTCAGTTGCATATTACAAGCATAGTATGTATGTTTTAAATCTGGATTTTCATAATTTCCAAGATAATAATGTTTACATGTATCTCTGGAATGAAACTGTTGTATCCAGAAGTGCACAAGCAGCAACATCATGTATTCTGAAACATTTAAAAATCGTAGAAATGAAAAATATAACTTACAGCAATATACGTGCAGGACAAAATATGTCCAATCTACCGAACATAATGCAGATGTCACTGATCATAAGTTTGTTTCAGGACATTCATTTCTACCAAATGATAGAAATTGAGTTGTAGAAATTACATTAAAAAAAATAATTAAATGTTTATCCACAGGATTATTCATCATCATCAACATACTCTTCTGTCAGTGATGTGTTCAATCCTTTTGAGTCCACAACTTCACTCTTTTCCTCCATATCTTGTGGTCTCTAGCCTGAGATATAAGCTGATGGTAAATCCCAAATTGTGAGGTATCTGATTAATTCTATCCAACTTCTGTTTGAAGTCTCTTTGGTCCCCTATTATGCAGTCATAAAAAAAGTGTCAAAAAGTAAAAACTTTATTCTGAATTCATTTCATTCAGAATAGATTTAATTTCAACTACACCACTAGAGGACATGGTTTTTAAAATGTTAAAGAATACTAATGAAAAAACAAAGTTGGTTAAAAATATGTGGGATGCATCTTTTGAGAACTAAAGCGTATAAAATTTTCTATAAAACATCAATGAATTACGATACAGAATTTAAAACTGGATTTACAACTGTGTCATGAAGACAAAGAAACTTTAAAAATATTGAATTGATACCATTGTACACAAATGTAAGACCAATTTCAACACCCAAACACAAAGATATGATGGACTCACTGCACTATATACCACCTGCATCCCATAATTGTTTTAAATCCCTTTTGCATATGCAAAAAGGAAATGAATAAATTATGATACATAATTTGAACGTAACATTCCTTAAAAGTAAATAAAAATTGAATATTTTCTATTTATAACGTAATATATTATATTGTTTTATTTATTTTAAGGGTATTATATTTTTTCCAAGGACTTTGACCTTTTCAAAAATTAAAAAAAATTAATTTCATGGTTTTGAAAGTGGCTTAAATCCATTTATGACCAACAAAAACATGTTACTTTTTAAATAATGTTTATTATACTGATTGGTTAAGTAAATTAAACACTTTTGGAAACACAAAAACATAATACTAACATGTTATCAGTTACCAATATTTTAAAATTAAAACACAAACTCTTAAATAGCCCAACTGAAAGATAAATGGACTAGGCCACTTTCAAAATAAACAGCTCATTTAAGAATATCATCAATGCATTCATTTAAAATAAACTGGAATTCATATTTAAAATTACAAATATTAAAATCTGAACATAAAAAATGAAATACAGTAGAGCATCGTTTATCCAAATTAATTGGGAACTGGGGTGGTTCGGATAACTTATTTTTCAGATAACGAATCATGTACGAAAAAATATATTAATTTATCCCATGTTGAAATTTCTCTCCGTTGCATGTCGCTTTGCGTTGAATTTTCGTCGATGTTAAGCCTAACAAAGACTATTGTATCATTAAAAATTATTTTTTTATTTTGTACAAACAAAATAAATATATTGAAAAATATAAAAACAATAAAAAATTATACTTCAGATGTTAATTTAGTATCAAAAACGTAAAATATTTGAGTAGCCCAAGACATAGCCAAAGATTGCAGTGCCACAGCACTGGCGAAAATTTAAATTTGCCGACTGGAATTCTTTTGGATGATTGACTTTTGGATAATCAACGCTCTACTGTATTAATAAACAAAATTATTTGCTTATTTTTCACTTATGTAGAACCTAACCCTATACCTCACTGTAAAACATAACAGCAATAGCTATAATCCATAACTCTTTATGTATAAAGAATTGTGAAGGAAATATCTTCATATAAGAGCAAAAATGGCATTATTTATATATTTAGGTGGCTAAAATGAGGCAGCAGGGGTAATATAACAGCAAAACTTCAATGGGCATTTGTTACATAGTACATTACAAAGTTAACTTATATCTATATATATTACTTCTGCTACCTCATTTCAACCATCTAAACATAAATAATCAATCTTTATAATTATCAACATATTAATCAATTTGTTTTCAAATACCCAGCACTAGTTAGTAACTAACTAACTACTAGTTATTGTACATGGCAAATTATTTGCATATGTTATCTTATTCTCATTGTTTTCACAGATTCCATTCATTGCTTGTTCTTGAGAACTTGATTGTTAGAAGTATTCAGTTCTGCCTCTGATTAATTTCAATAAACAATCTGGTCTATCTAGATGCATTTTTACTCTTTTTTTTGAATAAATGAAATACATAGAATGTTTCTTCATTATTCAGTTTTTTGTTAGTAAAAATAACATTAATTTATGTGGACAGGAACAAATACAGGCATCTTAATTTAAGTTTTCTTTGGGCCTGGAGAAAAATCCCAGCTCCATCCCTTTCAACAGCCTTCAGTTCATATGAACCTTTGTTGCATGATGTTTCTTTCTTTGACAAGGTTCAAAATCATTTTAGGGATAGTTTGTCATGCTCTGTAACAGCATGACTGGGAGATTTTAATTACTTGTCTACAAGTGAAATCTTAATTTTCACTTTGTTCAGATTGAGTTACATTCTTTCTAGACAAAAATCTTTTTGTTTCTGCATTGAACAGATTTAAGTCAGAAGGATTATAGTAGAATTTAACATAGAAAATTGCTTCATGCCAAAAGAATTTTTTCTTTTTAGGCAAGTTTCTATTTTATTCAGGTTCTGCTTTAGGCATATTTTACTGTATTATGAATACTTAGACTAAATATTTATAACTAATCTAATAAAATTTCATGGAAATAACTTCCATTTGTTAAAATCTATTAATCAGTAAAAAATATATTACTTTTTTAAATTAAGAAATTCATTGTAATAAATGCAGGGTGTAGCAGCGGAGTAAAGTAAAGGGGAACTGCTTGGTTTGAACGCAGTTTAATTTAAGCTGTATAGAATACACATACCAAAAAAACATAAGGAGATAAGGTACAAAGTGTACAAAAATCTTCTTATGTAAATAAAGGTCTAGATGTCACCTGGAATGTCCCTAGGAGTGTTATGGTACTCTCACCAACACTTTCCTTCATAGTCCATTAGCATGTTTCAGGTAGAGTAAGCCTTTTGTTAAAAGATTAGCAGGCATCTTATCTGTTGGAATAAATGCAATGTCTGTTCTTCCTCGTTCAATGCATTCATGCACAAAATGATGTCTTATGTCTACGTGCTTGCCTCATGAGTGAAATATTGGATTTCGAGCAAGTAACTGTGCCCCTTGGTTATCGCAATAAATTGTCAATTTGGATATATTGCTTCTTGAGAGTTCATCAAAAAGTTCTAGTAGGTGTAGAGCTTCTTTACTGGCATCTGATAGTGCCATGTGTTTGACCTCTGTGCTTGATAATTCAACTGTGTGTTGTTTTCTTGATTCCCATGAGATTAGTCCACCAGCAAGCTTAAAAATGTATCCCGAGAAGGAACAGCAATAAGAGTCTGAGAATCCTGTAAGTGCCTCTCTGGTTGTCTCGAATATCAGGCCATAATTGGTCATCCATCTTAGATATCAAAGGATATGTTTCACTGCAGTTCAGTGTGTTTGGTCAGGTTGGATGTTATACTTGCTCAGTTTGCCTATTGCATGTGTAATGTCTGATGCAGATAGAAAGATAAAGAAGACAACCAATTAGTTTTTGAAATGGAAATTGCTCCTTTGCACCAGTTGCAAGGATCAATTCCATTCGCAAGGATCAACTACCTGAAACATGCTAATGGACTAAGACTTTTAAATATGAAATTAATTTTATAAATCATGCATCAAGATCATGTTTATTATTACACCTTGTTCTATAATCTAGTAAGCACCCACTGGAATGAGAGGAAGTGTTGATGAGAGTATCATGACATTCCTAGAGACATTCTAGGTGATGTCTAGACCTTTGTTTATATAAGAAGATTCTTGTACTTTGTATCTATCTCCTTTCATTTTTTGGTATGTGTACTCTATACAGCTTAGATTAAAATCTGTGTTCCAACCAAGCAGTTTCCTTTTTACTTTACTCCACTGCCACACACTGCATTTATTACCTTCTTCAGAGCGAGGATCAAATTTACCGATAGTTGGGTCCTTGCTGAGTACAAAAGCGGAACTACCAAAGGTTCAAAAGTGAGAAATTTTGCAATCCCTGCCATTCACAATTTTGTAGGATGTATCATTGACTGTAGAAGGACAGCGGTTCAGGATAAAATTTGCAGTGTGAATTGCTTTGGACCAAAAGGAGGCCTTGAGTCCTGACTGAATTAAAATGCATTGTGCCATCTCGATCAATGTTCAATTGTTTCTTTCAGCCACTCCATTTTGTTGTGGGATATGGGAAATGGTTAAGCGTCATTTTATCCCAAATCTTTCAAATTCTTTGTTACAATATTCAGTTCTGTTGTCGAATTGAAAACATTTGATTTTCGTGCTGAACTGTGTCTCTAGAAGGTTCTTTACTTGTTTAAAGATGTTCAGTATATCGCTTTTGTTGCGGAGAAAACATACTTCACACCATTGAGATCGGTCATCTATGAAGACAGCAAAATAGCTAGTGCCTGACATAGATTGAATTTGAATCGGACCGCAGATATCAGTGTGTACGATTTCAAGTATATTGGTAGTTCATTGGTTGTCTGCTGAGTGAAATGGATTTTGCACCATTTTTGCTCTGAGGCATGTCTCACACGGGGGATAATCGATCACTAGATGGGATTCAAATTCCAAGATATAACAAGATCGTTTTTACGCTCTTTTGATTAAGATGACCTAGGCATTCATGCCAATCCATTAGTATGGACTTAGATTGAGTGATGGCAGCAACTGGATTCCATTTATGAATGTGGTAGAGTTTGTTCACTCAATCAGCAGTAGCAACAATGTTGTCATTTCGGTTTACGATAAATGCAACTTTCAGTGTTTTCTTTGCTGGCTAGGTTCAAGGTTCATCCATCAGGCTTGATTTCTGTGAAATCATCTCAATTAGCACATGTGGGAAGATGACCCATTGTCGAGACAACATTAAACCCTTCTGGTGGATTCTGATTTTGTGAGCTAACTTTCACATTTTTTGCTTGAAGCAACAAATTTGTTTGTGTTTTCAACTTGAAAGCTGGAATCAGTTGTCTTGTCATGGAAGCATTCTTCAATGGCTTTACTGGCATGCTCATTACTTTAGGGTTTGTAGCAGCAGTCAGAAGACTTGTGATTTTGACAATCTCAGTATTCGCATTTTGATCCACTTGGATTCATTTTCTCTCATTTGAATGGAAGTTTGTCTTTTGAATTCCTACACCATCTTTGTTTTTGAAGTTTTTCTTCTTTTCAACATACATGGCATTGGGTACTGCATTGGTCTTTTTGCCTTTTTGTGATTCATACCATTCGAGGATCTTCACTTTAAGGGCATCTGGATTTGGCAGATTGTAGCATGATTCAATTGCACAACGAAAGTTTTCGTATGATGGCGGGAGGCTATATAACAACATTATAGCGAGAAGGTCGTCATTAATGTCAACGTTCAAATCGTGAAGTTTATCGACAGCGTCGAAAAATTTGTTTAGGTGATCTCTGGCGTCATCAGGCTCATCCATTTTATGCAGTATGAACTGTTTGAGAAGTGTGGCCTTGCACACAGGACCTTTAGATTGGTAAATAGATTCCAATATGTTCCAAATTTCCAAAGCAATCTTACATCCCTTGACTTGTTTTAGTTCACTGGAACTGATTGTGAGATTGGGTCTTGGAATCGTCTTTGTCCCATTTGGCTACTTTTTCCTCATCATCGATGGGTCATTGGTAGGTCCATTTACATATTTCCATGTTCCATTTTTAACTAAGATAGTTTTTGCTTGGATTTTCCACGTTTTATAGTTATCCTTC